AATCTGACTTTAAACAGAGAGTGATTAAAACGTGGCAGTTGTGGCCAGAGGATGTAGTGATGGCCATAAGAATACCCAGCTTTAAAGGGGGATTAGATAGATTCATGGAAGTTAAGTCTATCAATGGCTACTAGCCATGGTGACTGTGGGGAACCTTCACATTCAAAGGCACTAATTCTTCTGAATCCCAGAGTCAGTAGGCAACAACAGGGGAAGGCCTCGGCCTCTCTGCCCTGCTGTTGGCCCTCCAGAGGAACAGGCTGGCCCCTGTGTGTGAGAGAGGATGCTGGACTGGATGTACTACTGGTCTGATCCAGCAGGGCCCTTCTGATGTTGTTATGAGGGGAAGGCCTCGGCCTCTCTGCCCTGCTGTTGGCCCTCCAGAGGAACAGGCTGGCCCCTGTGTGTGAGAGAGGATGCTGGACTGGATGTACTACTGGTCTGATCCAGCAGGGCCCTTCTGATGTTGTTATGAGGGGAAGGCCTCGGCCTCTCTGCCCTGCTGTTGGCCCTCCAGAGGAACAGGCTGGCCCCTGTGTGTGAGAGAGGATGCTGGACTGGATGTACTACTGGTCTGATCCAGCAGGGCCCTTCTGATGTTGTTATGAGGGGAAGGCCTCGGCCTCTCTGCCCTGCTGTTGGCCCTCCAGAGGAACAGGCTGGCCCCTGTGTGTGAGAGAGGATGCTGGACTGGATGTACTACTGGTCTGATCCAGCAGGGCTCTTCTGATGTTACATTCACACATGAAGCGTAGTTATCCTGAGTCAGTCCTTTGGTCTATCAAGGTCAAGAGGATGCTGGACTGGATGTACTACTGGTCTGATACAGCAGGGCTCTTTTAATGTTACATTCACCCATGATGAAGCGTGGTTATCCTGAATCAGACCCTTGGTCCATCCAAGGTCAATATTGTCTCCTCAGACTGGCAGCCGCTCTCCAGGCTCTCAAGTAGAGGCCTTTCACATCACCTCCCACCTGGTCCTTTTACCTGGAGATACCAGGGATTGAACCTGAGCCACGCCCCTTTACCTAATCAGAGCGGGGCCTAGGAAGGGTTTATTGATATACCATCAGGTATATCAATATGGTTCAACATAAGCAAGAATCTAAACAGAGCCTGAATATGGTTCAACATAAGCAAGAATCTGAACAGAGCCTTGTAGGATCAGGTCCACCTGACCCAGAACCCTGACTCCAACAGCGTCCACCTGGATGTCTCCAGAAAGCACACAAGATGGACCTATACTATAATACCCATGCAGTGTTTTGATGACCTCAGCTTTCAGTTGTGAACTTCCCCACCAGGTTTCAAGCCCTTAAGACTGTCAGGTGGGGAATTAGTCTTCAAAGACATCAGTAGTGACACCTGGTTAAGACTGTGAGGTGGGGAATTAGTCTTCAAAGACATCAGTAGTGACACCTGGGATAACATCTGTCTGCTTCTTTCCCCTCCTCTCCGCCCCTCATCTGGCTTCTTCTCTCCTCTAGACCTACTCCGGGCTCTTCTGTGTGACCGTGAACCCCTACAAGTGGCTGCCGGTCTACAATGCAGAGGTGGTAGGTGCCTATCGGGGCAAGAAACGAAGTGAAGCCCCTCCTCATATCTTCTCCATCTCTGACAATGCGTATCAATATATGCTGACAGGTAAATGGCAGATGGGAAGGAACAGAACAACCCCCAAATGGTGGCACAGAGTTTTCATCCACCTCTCGCTGTCTCTCCCCCTTCCTTCCTTCCTTCCTTCCTTCCTTCCTTCCTTCCTTCCTTCCTTCCTTCCTTCCTTTCCCCTGAAACTGTCTCTTTTCCTTCCTTTCTTCTTTTCCCCTGACACTCTCTTTTCCTTCCTTCCTTCCTTCCTTCCTTCCTTCCTTCCT